TACATCATAAAATTTCTATCATAACCTGTTTAACAAAGCTTTTCTTCTTGGACACCAAGAATTTCATTCAAAGCATTTTACATATTGCATTACTTATCAAAACAGAGGATATGTAAACCTTGACATTTGTTAAAAGACCCACTCTTTAACCAAAAAGACCAGAACAAATCAATAGCAGAAAACAGATTAAACAACAGAAAAGTGACTGCTTAGAAATAGAAGCATGTGAACTTAACCCAAAACAAGCTTTCAGCACATACTCAAAAGAAATTATTTGATATATACAGACACCTAAAAATCTCTCAGACTATACTGGAGCTTCAGATAGTCAAATATTACAACTAAATGAAAGTACAGTAAATAACTGCTGCAGCCTGTCTTCCAAAGCCTAGTTTGGGATAGGAGAAATTAAATTGCTTTTCTTGGCTAAGACTTTGTTCCCATATGAGTGGGTATTATAATAACTGTTTATGTACATCGTGCTAAATTATATGTAATACACTTGCCAGGTTCTATATATCAGTAGTGGTAAAAATTATCATTATCGTTGTTGTTGTCAAAAATACTAATAATTTATAGAGTAAAACAAATGTAATTGTTTTATTTAGTAAAGATACTTATATCTTGAAACAATGTGAATCTTTCTATTGTTGCCTTTGGGTAAGGCCTGCTACAAATACACTCATGGAGAATAACATGAAAAAAAAAGTATTACGATCATGCTTACAGTTGTTCATAAATCACAAATACACTTGTGAATACCTATGTGTGTATGGAGCCATATTAATGAAATATATGCCTGACAGACCTCTGTAACAAAACACGACTGTGTCACCTTTTATTTTATCAGTCAAAACATTCTGATAATAGTGATTTTATTCACTCACATACACTAATATGCGAAGTGTTCATTTGCAAGACACATTGCAGTTTAGGGGAAAATTGAGGTATTGCAAATGCAAGGTTGCTTTAAAAACTGTTCACATCACTAGTAATGCTGTTAGAGAAAGATATAAGCTCTCTCAAAAATTATATTGAGGTGTAAATTAAAACTTTCAAATAAAGTACAACCTGAAGAACAGTTAAAGGATCTCAGGGAGATTTTAAATATTTTAATAATTCCTTTATATCTGAGCTTGTAGCACTTCAGGTGTATGCTTGGTAGAGCATTTTATAAAATGCAAAATTTTTTCATTGGCTATCAAGCATTGATTTTTTGGTGAATAACTGCTGTATTTTTCTGTACATTGAGCTCATTATCCTTCCCACTTTTTACAATTTTATTCCCTTTTCTTAAAGTAAAAGAAATTCTTATAAAGCAGTAAAAATTGCAGAACTTCCCCTGAGCAGATAAAAATGTATCTATGTCCAAGGAGAACTAAAACAAAATAAGTAAAGACAGCAAATAGAGCAAAACAAATATACTAATGATTCAGTTATCCATTCATTTGAATATTTTTTGTTTGGGGGTCTGAAGGGTGTTGGGTGTTTTTTTTTAGAAACAAGAGTGTATTTTGAAGGAATGTTTCTAGATTCAGTCTCTTAATTCAAAGTGGCAGTCTCATCCCTTAGCAGATGCTCTCATCTTCACTCATCCCCTTAATCTACACAAAGTTCTAACCATATGTTAATGAAACTGTCCTTATTGAATATTTCTGTAGGAAAAAATTACCTGTTTGAATAATGTAGAATCAGAAAACCTGTTGTAGACACATATATTGGCAATAAGATAACTGCAGTTTAGTTTTAACTTACATGTAATAATTTTATTTCTTGCAAGACTCTACCTAGATGCTTACTTTATACTTAGGTACAAAGCTACTCTTAGTTCACCACAAGTTTTCATGCCTAGATTTTCACTGAAATAGCAAAAGACATGAATTAAAAATAAGCGTAGTAATTTGTGGGCACATGTGTGATATATCAGGTAAGTCCTATATTTGCAATAAATTCTATTCCTATATTTTAGTTTTTCTTTCTGTTTGTTCTTGCATTAAACTGTAGGGGAAAAAACTGCAATAAAAATATTTCTCATTGTTGAATAGTACCTTCATTATAAATGAGGTGTTTCTTTGGTCTATGACACTTTCTTGCGTCACTTTTGCTCTTTTTCAACCAAAATTAACATTTAATCCACTAACAATCTGTAAGTATAAAGTTTGAAAATTAGGTATAATGTGAATAGGTGTAAACAAACTTCACTTTACTTTTATGCTGGTCTGACACATATCTGTGCCTGAGAATTCTTCTTCAGGGAATAGGCTGTTGGCTTTCCATGCCAGTTCTCTCTTTTTTCACTCCAGTTAGATGGATAACTGGAACAGCAATGCTGACAATAATACCCATCTCTTGGTACGTACAAGGAAAGCGCCTTCAGAAGAGCAAGCATAAGTATCCAAACTTCAAAGATAGAAAGATGCAAAATAAAAAGGCAGTGATTTACAGTGTTCTACAACAAACCTATCTTGTTGCTCTTTCACTCTAAATTAGTTGATCATTCCCTACAATGGATTTATTTGATTTGGCTGAAAGTGCTGAGAACTGTGTGAAGGATGGAAAGAAATAACACAGAGTCATCTACACTTTGATTTGGTTTGTCTAGGTCACTACTGTAAAGTTGAAAGCAGACTTGAGAAAATCTAGCTAGCACTTCAGGCTAGATAAAGAAAAAAAAAAAAATTGTGACCATCAGACTTTGGGATAACCTCTGATTTGTTAAGTCTGTATTCAAGGGAGCCAAGAGTTTACAGCTTTAGAGTCTCTGGGATTTTGTGACAATGCATTCAGGCTGAGGAAGCTACCCTCCACTGTTACTGAGGGGCTACAAATCCTGAGCTATGATTCTCACAGACATCGAACTCAATAATTTTTCAGACAACTTATATGCACTCAAATTTAATAAGTTATCACATTTTACAAAATAATTGACTGCACTACCCTCTAAACAATGCATAGATCAGTTACAATTTAAAAAAATGAATTTTTTGAACTTTTGACTCTGAAGTTTTGACAGCACAGTTCATACTATGACAAATACAGCTGTTATGCTGCCAAAATAAAAGAACATATTAGTAATTTATTAATACTTTTCACAAGTTTCTGGTAGCAAATTACATCAAGTCTTTGGAGTTTTTTTTATGGAATAATAATTAACATTTCACAGCAATGTAAAGGCAATGTATTCCTTCTGATTAATTACATCTAGTTATAAGTGGAAAGCCAGAAAATCTACATTTACAGATTTCTGAAGTCCATCGTGAAAATAATATTTAGCAGTACAGACAGATTCATAAACAAGGAGGTTGTTAGTTCAGAAATAATCCGGGTTAGGCAGTTAAGATGTGCTTGGCTTCCTCTTCTGGTACATTGACTCTCTTACTTTTAAACTAATTTTCAAAAGTATTATTGATGGTTTTGTTCTGGCATTTGCATTCATTCTGTTTTAAAAATAATGTAATAAAAAATATTCATTTTGTCAAAATATAGAAATAAATAAGTGGTATGTCTAGTTTACCTTTATCACTGATACAGCCGTAAAGATGGATAGGTGTATAGGAAAGTTAGTCTCAAGCATAAATTGGACTTAAACTTCTCTGGCAGTCTAAACATGCAATAACTATTTCCCTTTTATGTTTATTTTTAACAAAGAATATATTCCAGTCTTAATTATTTGTTGTTTAATGTTTTCAAATTCAGAAAACATCTTTTTAAATTAAAGAAGGGATGCAATTTTTAAAATATTGTTGCCATCTTGGATTTATTTTGAAGTTTCACTAATTAACCACTTAATTTACTAATTTGAGGGTTTCAGCCTTCGGTGAATATATTATAGATCCCGGTCAAAAGAATTAACAGAAAGATTACTACTTGATTAAATAACTTTATTCTTTGCTCTTTAACAAAAGCCTTTCTCCACTAGAGATATCTACCACTATTTGAGGTGCTAAATAAAAGGCTCCAAAAGGCAAGGAAACTGCGTATCCTGTAAAGCCAAGACTTTAGTATTTTAAACCTCTATCAGATTGACCTAGAGTAAGTTATATATTTTAAGAAGAAAAAACAATTATTCACTAAGATACATATGCAATAATTTAAAAACGTCATAAAAAGAGGAATAGTAGGCCAGGAAAAGCTCCTGACATTTAGATCTTGCAGACTGCAGGAAAGGATCCATGAGGAAACAAAGAAGTTCTGACTGTTTGAAATTTATACCTCTGTTGTTTATATTAGTAGCTAGACTTCTATACGGTCATATGATTTAAGCTTTGTTCTGTTCTTCCACAGATGCTTTCTTCCTTACAGATGTCTAAGAAAGATATTTCCATCTGTAAAGTGTTGGTTTATGTAAAATAAATATGATACCTTGGGTCAGATTTAACCATTATTTTATTTAAGTAATTGTCTTAAGTATTTTGTAGGAAGTATTGTCTAAATTGCTCAAGTGTTTGTATGGATGACAATGAGAGTGATTATTTCATACATTTCTGTATGTACTTCAGTTTGCTGTAGCACCATTCAATATAGCAGATTAAGTATTCCTGGCCTTTAAATTTAAAAAAAAAATAAAAAATAAAAAAAAATCTCTTATTAGTCTAATATAGTACAACAATAACATGTTACTCAAGATGTATCTTCTGAATTAGTTCTCTATCCACTTAAAGGATGGTTGGCATTACTAGTTTCTGTGTCAAAAGCATTGCATAACTCTATATTTAAAATATGTTCAAAATGGACAGATAATGGCATTTTTAACAATATGATAATATGGTATAGTAATTTTACTGTCTATTTGGATAAGGAGTTTCGTTTTTTTAAAAGTACTATTTTGTGGAAATACTTGTATTACTTTTAAAACAGCAAGCAATACATGATTATAAAAATTGTGTGCTGTTGGATTAGACATTAATGTGTATTATTATCTTTCAAAGAATACGATGCAATGAAATTTAAGGGGGTTTAGTTGGTTGGGTTTTAATTTCACATGTCTGTTTATTTTTTAGAAAAGAATATATCTGCTCCAGAAAAATCATGTTTGGGTCCATCTCATAAAGAACGGATATCATTTCGAGACCATCCAGTACAGCTCAGCGGAGGATGGGGAGCAGGCAAAAAAAGGCAAAAGCATAATAACATTAGCTGAATAGTTGACATAAACAAATATGGAGAGCTGTTTCTTTTTAAGCCTGTGAATGTAAATTTTTGGATACTCGCTTATTATCAATATAAAAATTTTCAGTTAACTACATTTGACTTACTTTATTATACATGGTTACAGTGGTTTGGGGTGGGGTTTTCTGGTCAAAGTATTTTATACCTGTCAGTAAGTTATCATAGTTTGTGTTTTCAATTGCTTATATGTTCGTGTTGTATAGAATGCAGAACCGATCAACTCTACAAAGATTGTTGTACAGTTAACAAATTTAGGCTTGCTTGTAAGAACTCGTTGTGATCTGCAAATGTAACAGCAGTTCATGCTCATGTGATGTATGTCACATATCGAAACACTGCATTCTCATATTCTCAAATGAAATACATGCTTGTAAACTGTGCTGTGAGCTATAACAGCCAGCAATGTCATTCTTAGAGAGACTGGTTTAGAATAGTGTACTGAATCAGCAAAATTTCTCAGCAACCTACAAATGGTGAGATGCACTTAGCTTTTGTTAGTAGTGTAAGCCCTCTACAACTTTCATCCTAAATTGTGGTCATAATATGATAAGAAACCTGTTCTGTTTTTATACTTTCAAAAACTTCTACTATTTCCTAGAAGATTAAAAAAATAATAAACTTACTAAGTTCTCATTTTGTTCTGGAGTAATGTAACATTACATCTACATGACACTGTTAATGCAATTTTAATTATTCATCTATCCAGACTCCTTCGGCCCCTTGTGTTTTATAGCGCAAGGATATGTCGGGAAAGAAGAAATAAGTACAATTTCAACTATTCACGGGCATCTGATTCATTAATTGTAGTGAATGCTTTGTCCATTGACATACACCACAGAAAATGTTCAAAGCCTAACATTAATGTTTTCCACTTTGAGGGCAGAAGATGCTAATTTGATATAGAGAAGTCTGTCTTTGGTATTTCCTTATTTATATGTGTCCAATATTGTGAAGCCTCAACAACCTACAAACTGAGAGAGAGGTGGGGAGGGCAATGGGGCTTGAAACTTCAGTCAGTAGAGAACATAAATTCTTACATTGTGGCTGTTTTTAACATATACTTAAATTACATATGACATTGTTTTGTGAGGTGTTTCTTATGCTAACATACAAGTATGACAACGTATTGAAAGCAGTTATCTCCATTTTTGTGAACACTTGCATTCATTTTCAAATTAAAAGATCTATTTGAAAACCTCCGGTAAATAACCTTGCTCATTTGAATTGACATGCTGTTTTTTTATTATTGTTTTCCTTCTCAAAAGTCAGTGCAGCTTACTTCAGAAAAGATTTCTCTACTTTTTTGAGGAAAGATGATCTGTGAAGGTTTCTTGGCCTGACTGTAGAAATGCTGTGGTTGCCAGCAAGGAATAAAATATTAGATACTTAAGTTGTCTAGTTAGTTTCCCAACGTATGTTGTTAAGTGTTAAACTGAACTTCCAGATCTGCTATATAATGACTTTTATGTCACCCCCAAAGACAGGAGGGTCTGTCTGTGATTTCAGTTGTATCATAAAGAATATGTTTTGTATGGAAAACTTTGTTATTTCAAAATGTCTGCCACTATCAGGTGGCAGTATGGTCAGTAAATGGATACACCACTGTTAGGGTGTTAACTGGAGACCAAAATGCAAAATCAAGCAATTCATAGCTTAATGCTTCTTGCAGATTATTCCCTCTGTTTGTCTAGAATGTCCATAGCATACTGCACATCATCACAGCTGTAAATACCTCTATTCTGTATATATATCTGAAAAAGATCTCTTTTGCTTTCTTGGTGTTTATGAATACGAAATACCTCCAAGCCAAAGAAAAATGGTTTTGGCAACATTTTTAAAGTCATTTTATTTTGCAAAGAGAAAATAGTAGGGTTTTAACATACAATTTACTAAATTACAAATTGGAGTGACAATATTCACTGACTGACATGCCTTTTCAGGTTCATAACATGCTCAGTCTGCTGTTCTGTAAGTAGAGATCATCATGCAGAGGTTAAGTAGCATACCCAACAGTAATTAAGTTATAAAGTATGCCAAAATTTATTAGTTTTCATTGCATAACGTTGCAATGTGTAATAGGATGGTGTCTTATTATTGTAACCAGCACATTTTTGTAAGAATTGCGGTGCTGAAAGTAATGTGTGTCTGGTCAAATATGGATAAACATGCAAGGCTCAACTTCTGTTCAAGCTAACAGGAAGAGCTTTATTCCTTTCAGGAATAAGGTAAAGCAGCCTTAAATCTGGGCAAATGCCTGCTCTTCACAGTCTCATCTAATAATAGGTAAGGTCAGAGGTAATGGTGACATGGTGATGTCACATGGTGACTTATTTATGATATTAATTTTTCAAGTCCTATTCTGCACAGCAGAAAGCTGTTTCATGCTTCTTTTGTATATTTCCTGAGTTTTCCTTTCCTTCCTGTTTTCTTTTTCATTTTCTTTTTATTTTTTCTTTTTCCTTCTTTTCTTTCTCCCTTCCACCCTTACGCCCTAGTACAGCAATTCCTATTTAGGACAAGAACACATTCTTAAAAGGAAGTTTCTCTGGCATCTGTTCTGGTGTTGGAGTGGCTGTAAGTCACAGTGACAGCCCAGCAAAACCTGCACTACAAATCTCCAAAGCTGCATGTTTCTAGATGCTCTACTGCCTTTGTGGTGCCGGAGACCTACTCCTGGCTCACTAGCATCGTTGACTTGGCACTTTCTTATGTTTGATGAAGATCCTTTAACATGAAGGAGGAGGAACTTCCTGTGAATATGCTCTTTAAGAAATCTTCCTTAGATATATGAAGCTCAGCCTCAGAAATGTAGAAAAGCATTCATTCAAGATTAGGAATGAAACAACCAAGGCTCATTTATGCGTTGATCCTTTGATGAGTGTCATTCCCCAAACCAAACTGAAAAGCTTTCTGAGAGCTCTTCTGAATGGATCCTTGGAGTGTCTTTTCCTGTGCAACTTACTTGAAGGTCTGCACAGTAGTTCTTTAAACCCTCCATTCATTTGACTGGTGGCATTAGGACCATCTTTGCCTGCTGCAACAGGAAAAAAAATGCTCCAAAAAATGCATATTCTGAATGAGAACAAGATATTAATGGTACTCAGATACACCCCATATGAATGACAAAACACTGTGAAGAAAAATTTCGCACTAAATAATGGGCAGGTTTTCCTACTTGGATGTTAAGACACTGTTGAACAGTAACCATGCTCACCCAAAAGGTTATTGCTCAAATAGATTTCTTGTTCTAACAGATTTGTAAATAGCAGGGAGCCAGTTATCTATAGCATAGATGTTGCTTTGGTGCGGGGTTGCCATATTTTGACCTAGTAAATCATTATAACTAATTATTAATATACCTATTATTCAAACGTGTTCCTTAAAGGAGTGTCCACTGTACATAGTGTTTATATTTTTAAAAAACATGTCACAGATGGTGTCCAAATCTGGCCTCAGACACATGGGTGCAAAACTGCCACTTGGTCTCCCACTACAACTACTGTATGCCCTAGGAGGAATATACTGATTAATATTCATTTGATTTTAGTGTCATATCATCATGGTAGTGGGAATGTTTATTTATGGTGGTACAGTTTCTCATTGATACACACTGAAATTACTCCTATTAGCATTAATGGAAGCCAGGCTAGTATTCTGGGACACATCTTATGCCTTTCTTTAATGAGTAAAACACACATGAAAAGTAAGTGTTATTGCATGAAAGGCAGGAAAGGAAATCAGCCATATTATTAAAAATTAAGTTGCATAGTATCGTATCTGAGATCCAGGTTGTTTGTACTTAGCTGTACTAGCTGGGGAAAAAAAAAAATGCTACCAAACTTCATTGTTTTGTTTATGTCTTTTTACAGTCATAAGTGAAAAACAGACAAATTTTATTTTTATAGGAGTTGGAAGAAGCATAGGAGCTTTGACTAGCAGTGTGTGGAAAACAGATAAATCATAGTCACTGCTGATTTCATCATTGCATAAGGCCTTACAGATGGAAGTCTTGGCCCACAGTGAACTCCTGCAGCATTCATTAGAGCCTGTGTGATACATGAAAGTAGGGTGCCAACTGGTCATGAATGTAGCTATGGCTAAGTAGGAACAAGACACCTCTTTGTTCTTACACAGGAGCAGAAAAGTGTGCCTAGAGTAGGGAAAAAAAAACATAGGTATGGCCTTCTGGTAACCAAAGAGATCAGACTAAAGCAGCTGTTGGGTCTTGTGAAGAACTGCTTCACTGGTTTTCGAAGTAGATGGTGGGCAGGAAAGTGCTGATGACATGTCCTTGTGTACATCCTAATGGGACTTTGGGTGCCAAGTTCTGCTGAGGGTTTGTTAGCACTAAAATCCCTACTGAAGAGATGAATTTCCGTAATGGCCAAAGGACAGGGACTAGGTTTTCAAGGAGATTTTTAGTATAAATAGTTTTCATCTCCACCAGACTGGCCAGCATTACAAGGACTGGAAGTTGAAAAGAATGACATTATAAACTGCGCTGTTATTTGCAGAGCAGTTGGACTAATGCATTGTTCTTTGTGAGCACAGATGCAATTCCTCCACTATTATTTTGGTGACACGGATGCCGACACAAGAGGTTAGCACATACCTAGCTGCCTGGACTTGCGCTTGTTCCTCTCCTGGTCTTTTGAATGATAGGTTTGTTTAGGGTTAGCAGCCTTTTCTTAGTTTCTTAGTTGGTTAATTGCTATTTATATAACTAGGGTTTGGTTGGGTTTAGGCTGGGTTTTTTTGTTGTTTTGGTGTTGTTTTATTTTTGGTTTTGCTTTTTTTTTTTTTTTATCAAGCCCTAAAGAAGCCTAAACACCCAGGTAGATGCAAAATTACTATCCAGCTAAGGATATCTCTTTAGCAATAAGCAAGCAGATAAGACCATTTTATATTGCTAACAACTAATCCCAATTTCACAAAGTTAAGAGGTGATAAAATTGTTTGGTAATAGCCGAG